ATTTGGACTGTAGACCCTCTTCAGGCTTGGATATGAAATGACCAGTGCTACATGACTTCAAACCAAAGCCCGCCTATGACATGTTTGAGGAGAGAGTATTTCTCTCAGCGCCACCTCCGCCGGCCGTGACCTAAACCTCGCTCGCCACGTCCACGTCCACGTCCACGTCCCACCTTCCAGTTCCCCAGAGGAAGTTGGGTCATCGGTGGTCCGCTGGCAGCCGAAGACGGCCGGGGGAAGGACCAACGAAAAGGCGTGACCAACGGGACCACACCCCCAACAAATGAAACAACAACAACATGTGGCGGCGTATCGCGCTCGATGATGTACGTGGTGGATTTTGTTGTCGTTCATCCGTGGGGATGGGCGATAGACTGATGATATTTCAACCCCAATGGGTGGATATTCCAGGACCTGCAGTCGGTGAACTCTTTTTTTGACCTGTCAAACAGAACGTGTTTGTGAGCGAGCCGGCCAAGGGATCGTTCAGGCGGTCACGAGCTGAAGGTCCTGGTTCATCAAGAGTCTACACTGCCTGGATCTAACATGGAAGTGGACCATTGCTTGTTGGAAGACCCTGTTCCTCTACAAACAGCAAGCTGTCCACTTCTGTGTGAAAACTCAGGGAGTGTATTCAGTTTTGGTTCTACCATGTTCTACCCTAAAGGACCCCCACCCCCCAAAACAAGGGGTTTGGTTCGGGGCCCCTGTCACCCTTGTGAACTAGAGGGTTCGACCCCCTTGTGAATTAGGAGGGTCCGGACAACAGGATCCTTAGGGTACTATGGTTCTACATCATGGACCCCCCCACAAAAGACCTCTTGAATTCACGGCCTTTGGCCAACTGTCCGACCTCCGATCTCCGGCGAACCCAAGGCGGCACGGACAATGAGACGGCCCGCCCGGTGGGGGGGGCGGCAGCGCCAGCTGGCCGGTGCGGTGCGCAACCTGTCATGTGTTCTGACATGTTAACTATCACATGGGATGAACCTAGATCCTGCAAGTCATCACCCTTGAAAGTGTGAGACATGCATGCTCTACCCCGGAAGTCGCAAGTCGCCGTTGGGGTGGACTTTGAAGATTCCCCACGAAATATGCAGATGGCGCGTTCAGTTCACCCCTTTTTTCCAAGCTGCTTCAGTCGTACCTGGTTTTTATGGGGCCTTTTTAGTTGGGGTGCACATGGAGCTCCACAACTCGTGGTGCTGAGCCAGGAGACCCCCGTTTCGGAAGGTGTTGGGGGACCGTTTGGAGGGAGTCTTCAGTCGGAGCAATGCCGTGGCGGCCTCTTGGTGGCCAGGGCTGCGTGCTCCCTCCACAGTGGCGGTGGTGGAGACTCAGCAGAAGGGAAGGGCTACGGCCCTAGGGATCCAAGTACCTTCTCAGAAGGTGATTAGAGACACTGTTATAGTCATAGTTTATGTAGGTTTGGAGCGTTTGGAGGGGCCAGTCGACCGAACCTGAGAGGGTACGACTGGATCCCTAGGGTGGGAAGCGCTGGAGTGTGTTATGAAACATCTTGAAGCAGTAAGCCCATCGGAGCCTATATGACTCCCAGATGCGACTAATGGGACTGCCATAGGACTGCCGATCAGTTGGGGTGGTGCCACGGGGGCCAATGTAGGCATATATGGCAGTCCCATGGAGCATATAGGATCTTCAGTTCGTGACCGCCAGAGATTTTCTCCGGTTGGTTTGCTCACCGTCCTTTTCGGGCCAACAGGTCCCTGACTGAAGGCCCTGACTGAGTGGTCTTCGATGTTTAGATGCGGAGGGAGCTGCTGGGGGCTGCGGACCGTCTCCACCAATCTCCGGGGGAAGGTCCGGGCCTGGTTCCCAAACCCGAACTGTGTTGCTGAAGGGGCCCGGATTCTTAGAATCTTAGGGCAGGACTAAAGTGGTTTTCTTGGTTCGAAAATGGCACCTTTTCCGTCGAATCCTGCAAGATGAACCCTCGCCTCAGGTGGTCGAATTTCTCCATCCAAAGCTGTTGACTTGTTATACCCCCAGGGATCCAGTCGTATCTTCTCAGGTACGTTGATTGCAGACACTGTTAAGGTTTGGAGGGTCCAGTCGTACCGAACCTGAGAAGGCACGACTGGATCCCTAATTATACGGTATAGGTTTGAACAGGGTGACCATTGACCGGGTGACGTGGGCGGACTTCCAAATTCCACCGCAACTGATCCAGATAGATCTCATAAGAGCCAGTCGCTCAGAATCCTTGGGACCTCCATAGCAGGAGTCCGGAGCGGTCAGAAGAATGTGTTTTTTCCTGAACTAAGGATCATTGGACCCTCCTATGGAGGGTTTTGACCCTGCATAGCAGGGGTTTGGACCCTCAAAACCTTCACCGAACTGAGGGTCCTTGATTCTTAGGGTGAACTACTACTCCCCATTCAACAGGAAACCGCGCGGAGCGACAGGGAGGGAACCCCAACCTGTTTTTATGAACTTCTTCGCTTTTGACGTACTTTTCCTAAGCACGCTCCTTCAAAGCGTTTTGAGGATAACCATATATGTGAGAACCAGTGAAAGTCCATGGCATGCATTGAATTGCGAATCCAAAAGACGTCAAACAGGCAACAACATAGATCAACATAGCATGTTACATGTTCGATAATATGGGACACCAGGCAAAAGCTGTCCAACTTGCATATTATGATATATTATGATCCATGATCCATATGATCTGAACCGGTGGTGCCAGGGGGGGTCAATGGGTCGGCAGTCCTGTGGCAGTCCCGTGGAGTGCACCTGGAGTCGACCCGTTCGTACCTCGGAAAATGGGGCCCGAGTCGTACCTGTTTTTTTGGGGGTCATGTTCCATTTTCTAAGGTCCTTGAAGTCGGGACCTTATGCCACGGAGAAAAAGGAAGACAAATGCCACGCCACAAATCGAAGCATTCGGTGATGCGGCCATCGGCCAAGGCTGATGCGTTTCATCATCGACCTGGCCGCGTCCTACGTCTTTTGGTGGGCTTCGGAGCCCAGAGACGCATGCGGCATGCGACGGCGGTTGACGAGCGGAAAGCGATCGAGGGTTAGCATGCTGAAGATCGTGACGGAACAACAAAATGTAAGGTTTTATGCTTTGGGTGGTCATTTCATTATATATATATATGTCTAGGCATGTGTGCAAGTTTAGATGGTTCGAACGTGGTCTTTCTTTGCCCGACGCGTAGGGGATTCACGTCGGCGTCTCATAGAGGACCGCGTCGGTGTCTCACACAGTTTGCCCAATGCCTTGTTCTCAAGATTGTTCCATTGCCCACCTCAATGGGAAACAACAGCATCGCCCTTCCATGTTGAGGCTCGTTCTGAATCATGATGTTATGTTGTACTGTTGCTTCGTGGGCAACATAGGGCAACGGTTTTACATGAATTGACTCCGCCTGAAAAAAATCAGCCGCGACCCGCTCCAAAAATGTGCTTGGGGTGTTCCGGTATGTTGTTTTCATGTATCGCTACTAGTAGCTCTTGCACTTGGTAGTAAGGGCACCTTGTTACTAGTAGCAGTGCACTTGTTACTAGTGGTGAAAAATTGGTGATCAGGAGTCACATGGAGTTGGATGGGTTTTGAGTCCCATCCAGGGGCCCCTCCAAGGTGAAGGGTTTTTTCAGGTCCAAAGCCTCCAGTTCGGAGGGTCCAATGATTCTTAGAGGCTATTAAAGCAATGGTGGGCCACGAACCCACATAGGATAACCAAGCTTGTTGGTGAGCCACGGTTCGTTCCCCCACTGGGGCCAACCAGGACCCCCAAGGGATGGTTCTTGGACACCCCTTGACCTTGTTCCGTGGTAGAAGAGGTTGGATCAGTTGGTGTTGGATCAGTTGGTGTGGGCGTCATCCTGAAATGGCTTTCCGAACCCTATAAGACTCGAACCCACGACCTGGTGAATTTGGTGTGGAGCGGTGGCGGTGGACGCCTTAGCAGTGGCAGCTGCAGGCCTGTCACCGCTTTTCTATCCTGTGGTTGTTTCTCCTGTGTTGTTTTTGTTGTTGTTGTTGTGGTTGGTTGTTGGTTGTCGGTTGTTTGGTTGTTTGTTGTCGTCAATCCATAGACCCATCGGAACGTACGATGTTTCAGCAGGCTTCCCTGGCACAATCCACACCTGGCACAACCGCACCGGGCGACTCTGCGCCACCTCTGCGCGGAAGAGGTTCGGTCTTTGTGGCACCTGGCTTCTCCAAAGCCAAGCGGGCCTTGGCTTCGCTATGCCCAGGCCTTACTCTCCGAATTTCCGGACTACGCCTTCTATAGCTTCCTGATTGCTTTGGTCCTCGCTGCGGCCCCGGAGAAGGGGCGGGGTCCTGGACCGGGTCAAGCCAGCGCTGTTGACCAGGTGTCCTTGAGGTTGCCGCGGTGACAGCTTCCATCAGTGAGGATCAGTGAAGATACTGTGATATAAAGAAAGAATAGAGCTGGATCACCAGGAAGAACAGCATGGCGGGGGGGGGTCCCTTGATTTATGTCTATAGCAGTTAACCTTTATAGATAGTTAGTTGGTAAACAAACTATCACGTCACGATTAGAGAAAGGCCTTGACTAAGCATCATCCACTGTGATAGGGATATACCCAAAGCATGGGATCAGCAAGGTTCAGAATATTCCACCGATCTGGAAGAATGTCACATTCCTCAGGATCAGTGAGGACTGATATTACATTGTCCTCAATGATAGCATGAGAATAGCTTGATACCAGCAGGTATCTCCAGGTATACTCAGGCATACTCGCTGGCACTCATTGTTTTGGATCACGGATGGGACATGACTTGCATGACCCATTGGTAACGATACTGGGTTTTTGGCTTCATGCGCACCAGATGGTGTGGTCCTCTTCGCACCAGATGAGCTGCGCCCCACTTCGTTTCGCTTTCGTTTCGCCAGATTCGGGCATGGATCAATGACATCTATAGTGTGTGACGTTCAAATGGGAGGTGAGGAGATCTATCTTAGGGGGCCCAAAACCTGTCTGCTTTGTTCTTCTACACTCGCAGCGTGTGGCCCAAACTTCCAAGCTTTCCTCGGTCTCCTTTTTGGCGTCATTGGTCGGAGCCATGGCTGGCGAGGCAAAAGGAGCCCGCGGTCCTCGGCGCTTCGACGGACGTCGCAATCCTCGACGCTTCGACGCTGAGGTACTGGGATCTGTACTGTAGGGCGTCTTCGTAGGGTCTGGCGGTTGACCTGGGCCTGCCCTGGTGCAATTCCAGTGGCGAACTTCATCTCTAGAAGCAGCCAAGGAACCGGCAGCCATGTTGCAGAGTTGGAAGGTCGTCATGTTTTGGCTAGATTTGTTTGTGGCTGAAGCATTCACCTGTCAAAGAATGACATGCATAAGCTTTTGGTGTTCATCAGCATGACAGGCGCTATTGAACCCAAACGCTCCATGTATGGCATTTTTACATGCATTGGGATGGTTTCAGGCAAATTATATTCCTTACATGGAGTGTAAGGGTATGGATACCTACATCATTTACCCCATCCCCATATGGCGTATTTTTAAAGTGAACACCTAAACCATGGTTTTCACTCCACAACTGGTGGTTTTGTGGTTTCCTCAAAAAGGAACCCACAAATGACTTGGTATCGCTATTAGGTTGCACACCATCGCATCTAGGTTGGAGGCCATTCCTTGCAGCTTGGAGGCCATTGCTCTTACGTTCCTTTTACTATTAGGTTGGAGGCCGTCAATGTAGGTTTTCCCCATATATATAGACCAATTCTCATTCCTATACACTCCATGGGACTGCCATAACCCATTGATGGCACCACCCCTGGCCTTTTCACTCTCGGCAGTCCGTCCTGGCAGTCCCATGGAGTCTATGGGCCCTAGGGCTCCTGGCCGCCCCCTCCGTTTCGGTTCGGTGGTTGGGGTGGGTGCCAGGGAGGTCTGACCACCGAACCTGAGGATATGGGCCAGGAGCCCTAGAAGGGGATAGCCTTATGGGATTGGGGCTTTGGAACCCAGTCATTCCGCAGGATCCATGGCCATCTTCGTCATCTTCGTTCTCTCTCGAGCATTGCACCCGATGGTCATCGACTATTCCAAGGTCGATGGTCAGATGTTATACTCCAAGAACTCCCCAGCCACTTGGGGCTGAACGAGACAGGGGCGGCTAGGGGCTGCCTTGTCGCCGCGAGGGCGAGAGGACAATCAAGTGTTATGTTTATGCGGATGTTTATCTACCTGGAGCCTCAAAGTACCTCGGAAAATGGGTACAGTCGTACCTGTTTTTAGGGGTCATGTCCCACTTTCTAAGGTACTTTGAGGGCCCAGGTATACGTGTTTGGCAATTGCGCATGAGTAAAAAAGCAACAACAAAGGCCTATTTGTGTTCAACAGGTTGCCACTGGCTTATTAGCTGAGGGGAGTTGTCCTTTTTCTCTCACCAGACTCCAGCGATTTTTGCTGATCGCGCACGATGTTGGGCGAAGCTGGTAGGAAGAGCCCAACAGTAAGTATTTGCTTGACACCAGATGGTGGGAGCCTTTGAAGACGGATGGAGCGAATGTGAGAGGTTGGCAGAGTAGATTTTAAAAAAGTTCTCTTATCAAGGCTGGTTGCCGTGGTTTGTTGAAAAGTAAACAGTGAAGCCCTCGTGAATCCTCATCTATATTCTTAGGTACTTGGACATCGTTTCCTGGATTGAGTCACGCCTTTTGATCCTCAGGGGGGGCCAGAAACCTCTAGACATCGTCTGGTGTTTGCTTCCCCTGTCGCAAGCGTAAACCGCTGGCCCGATGATCGGCAGCACCCGAAGAACACCCGAACCACTGGCCCGAAAGGACCTGGAAGCCAACGCGACCCCCCGAACGGGCTCGGGTCCTGGATTCTTAGGGTGTACCCAGACGCGAAGTCTGGGCCCGAATCCTCGGGTCAGGGGTCTGGGGTTTCTCACCAATCCCTAGGGTTTTGAGGTGCCAAGAGCTGTTTGGAGCGTCTGGGTATGGAATAGATGCCCGAGAGTGAAAAGGCCAGAGGTGCTGCCAAGGGGGGTCCGGCATTCCTGGGGGCGGCAGTCCTGGCAGTCACAGACAGTCCCAGACAGCTCGCGTTTGGGCTATGGAGTGAGACGATCAGTGCTTGTCATGGCTCGGCCCATGAAATGTGATGACATGGTAGGATGAATAATACAACCACACCATGACAACCATCCATACAACCACCCCTACTGCATACAACCACACATTGATGACCATGTTGTTCTTCAAAAATGGACCCCAGGATGCAGGGTCCCATGGTTTCGGGTTACGCGGACGTCACCGCCGGGCGGAGCATGGCGGAGCGGCGTTCGAAATTGGTTCACCAGCTGACTGGGGTCGAGGCAGTGATGAGTCAGCTCTTGTCTATGATCTTCGTGAACTTCTTGGCTTATAAGGATGAAGGATGGAGACTTGGCATGCTGCAGACAAGTATTCTTCTTCCAGGAGAGCAAGAGTAACTTACTGTATAGCTGAGTTACTGAGTAACTTACTGTATACTACTGTATAGCTTGTTCCAGAAGTCGGGTTTTTCATGGTTTTTCACCTTACTGAGTAATTTACTGTATAGCTAGCAAGAACTTCTCCCAGGCAGCTCATCAGGTACAAGAGAGCCGGTATGGCCGAATTGGGTGCGACACGGATCGGCGGACGAACCACGGGATGAGAGGACCGGGTGTGGACCGGACCGAGTTCAAACACAAGAAGCGCTTGGAGGCCACCGCTCTTAGCTTGGAGGCCATCGCTAGTTCATGATTCTCCAGACACTGCATTTTGGCATTGCCGAGAAACGGCCAGGGGTGGTTGACCTGAGGTCAAGGGGGCAGCATGTATGCCAGTCCCATGGAGTGTTTGTTTCCATGGTGTGCTTTTCACCAGCAATTGTTTTCTACATAAAAACTAAAATATGGTGGGATGATTGACCGTCGTGCTGGTCGTATAGGGTTGGCTGTTCTTGCTAGGGTGCATCTATAGATGATTAGGAGGGGGTTCGCCTTGAAGATTTCTCGTCAGAGATGTCCCTTGTCAGACAGCTGTTCAATCTCCAGATCAGACGCTGGAACCTTCTCAAAGCTGTTGCAAGACAAGACAAGGCAATTCTTGCGCGCTGCAGAAATTCCAGTGATTCCTTTCAACGATTGATGCATTGCTCAACTGAGGAAGGGCGTGAAGGACTGCTGGGCTATCCCTGCAGGCCTGGGTGGTCCTGGGGAGCAGCAAGACTGGAAAGGAGTAACCTCAGGAGCGCCCTCCACCCCGGTGGTGGAGGTTTCTGTGGAAGAAGTCCAGTTTCTTCAGGACTTGAAAGGGGCGCCATGGGGCGCCCATTGTTTGTGTGTTCTTTCTTTGTGTGTTTGTCCAGAAATTTAGACAGCAACTTGCTGTAACCTTGCCCCAACAAAGGTTTCAGGGCAATTCTGCATCTCGTCTTCTGCGGAGATGCCCGTCTTTATCCAAGCATGATCCATGCACGATCCAAGCATGTATCAAACCAACCCCAGACACTGCATGGGACTGCCATATATATGCCATATATGGACCCCCCTGGCACCACCCCTGGCCTTTTCTTGGCAGTCCGTCCTGGCAGTCCCATGGAGTCGACTGGGAACTATGGCTCTGAAAACATGGCGTGTCTTTTCCACCAGCAGTGTGGCAACCTTAGCTAGGCTTCGTATACGAGTTGTTTGGACGGGTGTTTCGAGCACCGCACCGGGCACCCGCCATGACGGCGCCGAGGCGCTTCGATCTTCATTGTCATTGGCTTGTGGCTCCTTGGCCCGACCCGACAGAGGGGCTAGTGACCTGAACTAGGACCCGGAAAACCAGGGGTACCTACCAGGACCTTCCAAGTCCGGTGGTTTTTGGCCACCTCCTGTACCTCTAGGAGGCTCTTTATAGACACCTCCTGGAAGGTCCTAGTATAGGATAGTCTAGTTCGGGTTCTGACCCACCTTTGCTGGCCGACCCCGACCAGATAGGTCTCGGAAGGCTGAGGAGATGGGGCGGGCCAGGAGCCTATAGGGTTGATGAAGGCGACGAGGTCAAAGCCATGTCGAATGAAGTTCCATGCCGGTTCCATGAGGTTCTTGGATGTGACAGGGGGGGCACCCGCACGGCGCCGCCAACTCAGAACAGACACCCGCACGTTCCTCTGTGGATGCGCCAGGTGGAGACATGTTTCATCATCTGGGCTGTGGCACCCCACGAAGCGATTGCAACAGGTAGAGAAAGGTCAACTCCGTGGTCAACCGGGAAAAATCCTTGTACATGTCCATATCCACACGACCTGTTTGGGACTGACATATTTGAGGTGCTTAGTGGCTTAGTGGTTGATTTGGGCTCAATGTAGGTGTATAGTGATATCATATTGCATATTATATGATATTATATGTATTCATAGAGTGTTTGGGATAAGGTAGTATATGCGCAACTCACCAGTTTTCCCCAACACTCAGCACAGCTGCAGCTGTGCAGCAACACTGCTGACTCGGAGGACACCGTCAAAGGAGGACACCATCCGGTCCTTTCGAAAAGACAGGTATGCCTTCGGAGACTTCTTGGAGATGCTCTCCATGGGTGCCATGACAGGCAGAGACGAGCCACGTGTGACAAACAGCATGCGTGTGTTTCGGTAGCGAGGGGGTTTGGTGGTGCATGCGCAGAGGCGGGGTCTATCAGCTGTTGTTGCAGTCCAAGTTGCTCATTACAGCAGTGACTGGGCTGTGCTTTGGAAAGAGTGAAGAGTGTGTTCTTTTGCCTTTTGCCTTTATTTGTAGAAGGACGCTACGCACGGTGGAGGCCATCGCTACTAGGTTGGAGGCCATTGCTAGTAGTATGTTGGAGTTCTTTTCCCGGACTTCGGAGACAGCGTTTCACTGCATTAACCTCCGTTCAGGGACCGGGGACCGGGACCCGAATCGTCGGGGAGTCGGGACCACGGAGCGTTTGGGTTCCTGCTCAGCAGGACGCGAACCGGAAGCGACGTCGCGATGTTCCCAAAGCGGAAGCGAACCGGCCGGGAGTTCCCCAGCTCGATCAGGTGATGATGAAGCAGCTGAAGGGCACCTCTCAAAGTGCCTCGCGCGCTTTTTTCACGCGCGCGTGGCCGTGTGGCCAGTTTGGCGCGGTCTCATAGTCTCAGTGAAGGACAAAAAGAATGATGCACATGGAATGGAAGATGGACCTCCATTGACCCGCCCCAGAATGTCCCTCACCATCATATATATACATAGACTCTATGGGACTGCGGACTGCCGCCCCGTCCGGCCGACCCCCCTGGCACCGCCACCCCTGGCCGTTTCACACTCGGCAGTCCCAATGGAGTCGACTGGGATAGGCTTTGCTTCAGGTCCCGGACCTTCGATCGCTGGATCATTCCGACCCGACCCGAAAACCCCGCCATGGTTTTCGGGCCGGAGGACGGAGACCATGGAGCAGCTGTTTCGGTGTCGGGCCCGAACCAAACCATGAAAAAGAAAGGTTTTCACATACCAAAACCATGTTTTTTGCTAGGGAAAACCAGGTTTTTGATGGTTTGTGGGGCTCGTGTATGGATCCGCACCCTCAAAAACTAAGGGTTTGGTTCGGGGCCCCAAACCCTTGTGAACGGCAGGGCTGAACTACCCCGTTGTGAACTTGGAGGATCCTTGCTTGACCCGGATCCGAGCTCGGCCAGCTTTCCTTCCGACAGGTGAGCTGCAATGGAACGTGTTGATCGCCGCGACCTTGGCCATCAGCGCCTTCGTCATGGTGGATAGTGGCTCGGGCGACGACGACTCGGGCATCCCCTTGATGGGCGTGGCGCGGAGCCCCAGACCCGACATGAGTCGGGTTGAGACGTGCAGCGACCGGCGGGAGCGACTGGGAGTGACTGGCATGTGACGGTGACCGGGTCAGAGACTGGGTTCAGGATGGTGAAGGAATGGTGAAGGTATGCCCTAAGCTTCCAACAACCATTATATAAATTAATAGGCTTTACCGAATCAACTAAGGATTTTACACTAAAGAAACCAGGTCAACCATTGTTTTAATGGTCGAACGGAAGTCTAGGGTCTGGTGGGAGTCGGGTGTAGTGATCAAACTGACTGGAACTGAGTAGTGTGCAACATGGATTGGGAGGTTGGGAACTTGAGAAATGACATTGCCTCAACATGCACAGTCAGTGGATGACCTTTAACATGGTTGAATCTTTTTTGGGAGTGGTTTCCCCACTGACTAAACAAGAACATGTAGAAACAGGTTAACCGCCATTAGAAAACTGAAGGAGTCAGTCGACATTGGACATGCAAGCGCTTTAAGTTTTTCACACGCATTCTTGATCAGATTTGATCTCATCGCAGGGTTCAATCCTTTAGTTAATACATGACAGTAGTGCGGGTTGAAGAGAACAAGCTGAACTTAATTTCCACCTGCTCCTTCGGCGAGTTCTCAACCTCATTGAACTGGCAGCACCCAATCAATGATCTAGATCGCACTACAGATACATCAACCAGCTTCACAATTAAAAACACACACCCACACCCACACACACACGACGCAGAAGCACCCCCATTCACACAATCCGAGAGAAAAGGTACTGCTGGATGGTTTTTGCGTCAAACAGTCCCAGGCCATGGTGCTATTCAAAGTTGGAGTCTCCTGCTACTTGGCCATTGAAGATGCTCGGATGGTTCGAAATTCTGAAGCTCGGAGCAGCGGTTTCCATTGTTCGCGATTTTTTCACGAATTCGCTCTAGTTGTGAGCACCCAAAAAGATGATTACTGCACTAGATCAGATCAGAATGACATATATCCCCCCTCCCAGAAGTAGCAGTCCAGTAGATTGAACCTTTCTTTCAAGCAGGCGGCCTGGAACCTTGTCCTTCTATACCCTAAGCCTTCACGCTTCTACTATACGCCGGTCGACGCATCTGCAATCCAACGCCCGTTCGAACCGGTCGATCGTCTCGAGACCGACCGCTCCCTGCGCTTCGGGCGGGGCAGAGCAAACCGGCCGGAGCCCGGGCGGAGGGCGGTGGGCGGACCCGGTTGGGTCGCCAGGTTATGCGGCGGTCTTGTCCGATGCCAAGTTGAAAGGCTTCGCCTCGATGTCCATGTCGGCCAAGTGTCGTGGTTGGCAGACCGGGTGGGTTTCGGAGCGTCGTTTTCCTTTCCGGTCCAAGGAATGGTGGCGCCACATCGTTCACAAGAACCGGTAGGCAAAGGTGATATAACCTTTACCAGGATCCTTCTTGGCAGAGGTGCCTATAAAGCCTCTTAGAGGTACAGGAGGTGTCCAAAAACCACCGGACTTGGAAGGTCGGTAATTTGTAGTTATCTTCCAGGGAAACTGAAGGAGTCAGCGATCACAGGCCATAGGACCAAGGATCTCTGTTGGAGACCCTCTCCGGGCCTTTACAGTCGGGCATTTGCACAGTCAGGTGCTGTGCATGCTGGTGGTTTTCTGAGAGTCATCGAACGTGTGCCATGTTTTTGAATACCTGGAGTCTCAAGTACTTCAGAAAATGGGCACAAGTACCTGTTTTTATGGGGTCATGTCCCATTTTCTAAGGCACTTGAAGTCAGGTCCAGGTATGCTCTTAAGAGTGGCGGGTGATGCGGAGTAGGACCTATAGCCGTCCTACGAGTAGCACGACGACCGGCGGAACCCGACAGGCTTGGAGGGTGATCACAAAAGCTTGGAGCTGTGATGGTACAAACAAAGGTGGCGGCAGGTTTGGGAGGGGGAAACATACAGCCATGTTCTACTGTAGGGGTTTGCCAGGAGGGAACATGTGTATAATTTTGTATCGTGTATTATACGAGTTGCAATTTTTGTCATGGCCCTGGTTTTTCCCGGCAGAGGTCACTAATTGAGACTCAAACAGGAGTTCAACTGACCCTCCAAAAACCTGTGGCACTGGTGCTGGTTCGAAGAGATGTAAAGGGTGAACTGTGGACCCCCATGGAGGACTCATTACTCCATGTGTTCCACCACCTCAGGCTCTCATTGATGTCCCTTGCGCGCGCCTGGGCTGAAGAATCAGAGTAACCGATCGATCCCAGGCAAGGTCAAGGTGGAGGACAAGTTCTTGTTCATTACTTGCGTTGTCTCACTACCTTCCAAAATCCCGACACCTCCTGGCAGCCCCCTCCTTTTCGATGGTGATGGTGCCAGATAGGGCACCGAACTTGAGATGGGACGAACTCCGAGTCTGGAATCCTCCCCTTCACTTCGTGGAAGATGAAGGTGCCCGTCGACGCGAAGTCTGGACCCGAATCCTTTGGCAAATCGGACCCGAATCCTGGGGTTAGGGGTCGAACGGGTCGGAACCAATCAGCTACTAGTCAACTGGTCTAGTACCAGTCGAGGTACCAGTTGTGAGGTTTTGAGGTACCAATCAGCTACTAGTCAAACTGGGTTTGGTTCGGTACCAGTCGAGTGTCGTGAAAACGGAGCGTTTGGGTGAACCATCTTCCATGAAATGACGCGCCCCCGTGCCGCGGAGCGGCCACGTGGGCGCGCCAAGGGGGAAAACCGATGATGGAAGCATGTAGACTCACGTGTTTGATTTCCGCTGAGTGTGTGTTGATGTGTGAAGCACTGTTTGGCTTCAACCTTGGGTTTGGAATGGTTTGGATGTGTTTTCTGATTTCAGATGATTTCAGCAGCCCTTTCGCAACTTTTGAGCGTTTGGTTTTGAGCACTTGTTTGCATTGAAGGAGGCTACTTCAGGATTCAGGCATGTTTGTACACCAAACCCCATCATTGATCCCCGGCCTATAGATCTATATAGATCTTTCAACTATCGAAACTATGAACATGAACCGGCTTTTTGGATAGTTGAAAGATCTTTAAAGTGATAGTTGAACTATATCCGAGACGCTCCATGTATGGAATATATATGCTACAGTATATGCTACATTGGGGTGGGGGGGTCAATGTAGGCATACATGGCAGTCCCATGGAGCGTTTGCGTATATCATTAGTTGAACTTTAGATCGTTGAACTTTAGATCTTCCTCTGCTTTCTCCTAGGGCTCCTGGCCTACCTCTGTTTCGAAGATGGTGATGGTGGGTGCCAGGGGTGTCTAACCACCGGTCACCTGAGGATGTTTGGTTCGATCGCGCCACCCGACCGTCGCCCCCACGGAGGTGTGATCGCGTCCATCGGCATCGCAGTGGTCATGGAACCGGAGGCTCAGCCCTCCTATAAGTGGGAGGCTCCAGGCGCGGAAGCGGAGCGCCCAGCGGAGCGCCCAGCGGAGAGCAGCTCCGGTGCCAGGGGTGTAGCACCGAAGCGCGATGGGACAGGAACCCTAGCTGCTAGCTAGCGAATATATGTCTTCAACCATGTTACAGCCCAATCGGTCCACCGTTTTTCCAAAGACCTATCCTTGGTCAGTGAAGCAAGGTATCCTTGGTAAGTCATAGGCCCCCGTTCCTTCCACCACGCCTTCTCCTTGAGTCTCGCTGAGACTCGCTGAAAGCTCGTGGCTTTTCAGGGTTCTTCAACCATTGGACCTTTGCCACGTGGATTGTCACCATCTCTTTCACCACTAAGCGCCTTGTTCTTCGACCTCGGCTTCGGTGTGGCCGAGTGTGGTGGCATGGGGGGGTTCGGTGGTGAAAAAGGGTGTACAAGCAACGTTTAAAAAACACACATGGTTCAAGCAACGTCTGGTCGTTTGTGATAGAGCTATGTAGAGCTAAAAATGTTCAACCCAAAGTCATTGTGGATGCATCAAAAATTGTTGCACTGATAAAGAAACGTGTGGATACTTGTGTGTGTGCATGTGTTCACTTGGCATGATGTTCTGGGCATCCGATGGAGGTAATACCCATCCGACCTCTGGGGTGCTGACAAGGCGCACCGCTGGACGGTGCGAGGCGGACACGACTCGAATGGTATCACCCCCGCAAGTCATCTGATTTCAGGACGCTACACATGGGACCGGGACCTGGAAGATTTATACATCCCAGACGCGACCTGTCTGGGACTGCCAGGGACGGACTGCCGATCAATTGGCCCCCCTGGCACCACCAGCCCTGGCCGTTGCTCAGTCCGTCCTGGCAGTGGGGATTGGAAGATCGACTTTTAGCTGGTTGGTTTAACCTCAATCTCCCCGCCACATCGGGTCGTTTTAAGGGCACGGAGGACGCCTGATTGCTAGTCGACCTAAGCACTCAGTCGACTGAGGTCGCTGATCACTTTGTACCTGATCAAATCCTTGGACGCCATCCAAAAGAATGTGGGTGAGGCGCGTGGTTCGGTGCGTTGAGCCCGACGAAGTCGTCGGACGGCTCGGCCGCATTCGAAGGGATTGGTCGCCGCTGATATCGGTTTTGGCATTTGAGGCCTAAAACGGCCATGTTGAAACAAACTGATTGGAGGGGTTGGAATCGAATCACACCAAATTATTGATTCTGATTCTCCAAAACCGTCTTGGAACTTTGACCCAAGAGTTCTGAACATTCTCTTGGAGTGCCTGCGCAGCTTCTTCAGCTTCTTCTACTGAAGCAGACCCATTCGTTCGGGGGACGAAATCCTCCGGAAGACGATCCTCGGATGACTCAGATTCGATCAAGCACTGCGTCTGGACGCTCTGGTGTGACGTTCGCCCGACTCCTGGTCCCGAACCAAACCGGGATTGGTGAGAAACCCCAGACCCCTGACCAGTTCGGATTGGGGTCCAACCCACTCGATGATGAGGCCAGGGTTGCCTTTGGGCGTGTCATCATGTCTTCAACCACCCTGGTGCGCCAGGATGTGCCAGCTCCGACCCGCCTGAAGATGCAGATGTTCAATCCAATGAGGGTGGTACTGGATAAGCTGTCCTTAGGGCTCCAGTCGTACCTCCTCAGAAGGTATTCGGACTCTCTAAACCCACCCCGAGCACCTTCTCAGAAGGTACTTGGAGCCCTAGAGTATCATGGTTCTTGATGCGAAGTGCACGCCCTACGTGCTCGCTCTGAACTCCTCTCACCTGTTGGATCGGTACCTAGTAAACCTGAAGTATGCAAAAAAAATGTCGTTTCAGAAAAAAAACAGTTTTTTGTTGAAAATGTATTTTTTGTATAACAATTACCTTTTTGGATTTTGGTTACCTTTTGGTTACCTTTTGTTACCTTTTGCAAACTTACTGCTGTTTGTTTGAGAAATCATGGGACCATTCTGTCTGAGATCTCCAGTCTGGAGTTGTGGGCAAATGAATAGGGTGCCAGTACTTACTTTCTGTACACAGAGGATGTTGCAATCACCAGAGGGCAATTAGATGATACATGATGCCCCCTGTGCACAAATTGCAACTTCCTCGTTTTGCAAAGATTGCTTTGGAGATCCATATCGCCATCGAAACCATTTCAAAGTGGTCGAGCTCTATCTATTTAGTTCATAGTCATGGTTAGAGTGGCCAAAACTTCAAGACGTTGAAAAGCTGCTCTGCCTTTGCCCTCGAAGAACTTCGAAGCGAAGGCCCTGGAAATCGACCGGACAGAAGCCAATTTTACTGAGAGCATGCTGTGTTTTAGATGTGTCAAATTATCCCAACAGCTTGTCATGGAATGCCTTGATTCCATCTTGCCTGGAAGATTCGGATGAGTTGTGGTGATCATTCAAAGCTGAATAATAGAGAAGCGCTTGGGGCAAGGGAAAACAGAACCTAGCTCGATCTGCAATCGCTGAGATTTCCGTTTTTTTTTCAGTGGACATTTAAACTTCCATGCAGAAGTGGCCGAAAAACAATTACGGAATTTACCGTCCAAATGACGGAAATCACCAGAAAAATTGCGGAAATTGCCGGGCACGGTTTGGATGTTTTGAATGTAGAAATTTTTGCTGTTTCAGGGGCCTCTGGTACATTGGTACATGCAGGTTTCCTTTGATGTGGCCACGCCTGCTCCTATCAACTCCTTGGTTTCGAGCTGCGCCACTCTGTGTGAGGTGAGGGCTTTGAAGGCATGCCCTGCCCGACATGATGTTGTGCAGCCCCCTGATGAGGAAGACACCCTTCTCCAGCAGTTGCAGGAGCAAAACACAGCTAACTCGCTGTAGTAGTTGTTTCGATTCCTTAAGAGGGGCTCGCACTGCGTTACAGGTTGTGTATGACTTCGGCCCAAACGCCAAATTTTTTCTCACACCACTTTTGAGACGAGGGAAATTAATTGTCAAACTGTCCAAATTTTGCGTGTCAGTTAAATGGCATTGTGCAGCCAACAAAGTTTTTATTATTGGGAGAATCAGCCGTGTCAGTAGACAGGTTGCAAGCAAGCAGGTGATCCTAAGGGCCATCGAAAGGTACGGCGTATCCTTGCACTTTCGCCGGAACCGACTCAAACAGCCTAAGTTTAGGTGAGCAACTACCTTTTGGTGTAAGAAGAGGCTGGATTTGGGATTGGAAGCAGCTGAAAAAATGAATATTGCATACCCTCCACTGGCTTGATCGCAGCAACTACAATTTTACAAAACAATGACGTTTCTTGGCTGAGATGACCTTTTTTGCCGGAAAAAAACACGATTACATTCTTTTTGCATACTTGGGTTTTCTAGGTATTGATGTGCCTGTGGACCGTATTTTGGAGGACGTTTCGACCTCTTTTTGAGCCCTAAGAATCAAGGACCCGACCCGTTCGGTGAAGGTTTGGTTCGGGTCCAATGATCCATTGGAGGGTCTAATGATCCTTAGGGAGGGACAATTACCTTCAAAATGACTGGGTCGAACCCAAAGAATGGCCCTCCTGCATAGTATGATACCCCCCCTAGCTATCCCCAGCTTCTGGGTGAACGTGTGTGTAATTGTGTTTGTGTGTTGTGTGTGGTGTCATGGTCAGTCATAGTCAGATCTCCCAAACCGCACCCCACCGACCTGCCGTGCCGTGCCGCAACGAGGCCCTGGCGGTGATTGTGATCTTCTTGGGGCAGATTGCCGCGGGTGCCTTGGGCCCATCGGAATTTCGTGTCGGGCGTGCGAAGTCCATCTGAGGTTTTAGGAAGGATTGAAACCCTATATACCTCCAGTCGTACCGAACCTGAGGTTCGGTGGGACTGGGGTGGGTGCCAGGAGGGTCTAACCACCGAACTTGAGGGTCTAACCACTTGGAGGTGTAGGGCAAGTGTGAAGAGCGGCCGAACATGGAGCGTTACTAGGTCTTGACCCTCCGTCGGTGCAAAGACCTGCGGATCGCTATTCACCTTGGTTGCTTCTTCCCTAGGGATCCAGTCGTACCTTCTCAGAAATGATTGGAGACATTGTTTATGTAGGTGCCAGGAGGGTGCAGTCGTACCGAACCTGAGAAGGTACGACTGGATCCCTAGGGCTTAGAAGGCATGGAAAAACACTCTGGCCTCTTTCGTGCATGGAAAACCGGGCGGGACTGTTCGACACGACCGCAGCGAAACGGGCTCCATGCGGAGGATCGGCCCCATGGGGTGGTGCCGTGGGGGTCGGCCCAGTTGGGGCGGCAGTCCGCAGTCCCATGGAGTGTATGGGCTTGGAAAATGGGACATGACCTTCACAACCCCCATGACAAAGGTACTCCAGGAGTTACAAAGGAGAGGTGTTTCGTTTGTTTAGTCGTCCCATCTTCGGCTGTGGATGTCGGCATCCCGACTTCCCGAACGTTCGGCACGAGGTACTTTGTGACTCCTGGAACGCCTAAACTCATCCAAGGTCCGAGGTACATGGAGGGTACTTGGGTCACAGGGATGGTGCCACGCACGGCACGAAGTTACTGACGATTTCACCCACGCGTTTCACAGATGGTGGCAGATGGTGGCAGTTTAACCGATACTTGGACCTTCCAACAATACACAACGATTGTCAGCCAAACAGCGGACATTTTACGTTCGAAGATCGACCGGTCTGTCATTGGACGCCACAATGAGCTGCCAATTGACGTCCGCAGGGAGCGCTGGCACATGGAGGGTAGCCGCTGCAGTCGACTAGACTGCTACCCACCCGGCCTTGCTTACCAACCGAAATCGTCCAATCTCCTTCTCAACTTTTCACCCAACACCCACCGTGTTTGGTGTGGGACGTTTGAGTCCATCAGCTAGACTCGCAGGAGTTCGGGAGAGAGAGAGAGAGAGTTCAGGCTCCTCGGTCTTCGACTTGTGCGCCTTCTTGCTCGCAGTGCTGGTGGTGATTTTGGTGCGTATCTATGGTCTCGCTGGTAAGGCCGGGTGAGTGAAGTGAGAAAGCCGGGAAACAAAAAGAGTTTACCCAGACGCGACCCTGGGCCCTCATATGGAGGGGTCGGACCCTCATATGGAGGGGTCTGGGGTCTCAAATCCCTAGGGTTTTGAGGTACCAAGTGCTGTGAACGGAGCGTCTGGGTAGAACTTGTTTTACAAGGAAGAGTGCAAGAGAACTTCTGATTGGGCATCATCTTCCGCGCCATGGATTTGGACCACTTGTCATTGTCAGAGTGCCAAACAAGAACCACAAAAAAAGGTCTTCTGCATCATGAAACAAAATATTGTCTTCGACATGCATTCCGTACCAGAATCAAGAGGCGAACAAGGACGCTCCATTTTCCTCAGACTGTTTTTTTAGATGGATCTAGGGTGACGTACTCGTACGTTTCGTCACTGGCGACGAGTCGCACGTCGCTTGCGACGAACGGGTGATTTTGCAGCTTTCTTTCATGCCATCTACTGCTAGTAACAACCAGGGGGTCCCACAAACCATCAAAGACCAGGTTTCCCCTAGCAACAAAAAACATGGTTTTGGTATGTGAAAACCTTTGTTTTTCATGGTTTTGAGGGCCCTTGGAATGCCAGCTACGAACGGGGCTCCTGGCCGTACGGACCTTTGAGCAGACAGACCTGAGAGTAACAGACCATGGCCCAGAGCAGACAGATCTGAGCTCAAGGCTGCTCGACCTCTCGATGTTTTCCGTCACCGTCAAGGTAGGCTTGATCGTGTTTCCCAGACACGACCTGTCGACGGGACTGCGGACTGCCGAGAGTTCCAGGGGTGGTGCCATCCTTTCGGCGGCAGTCCTTAATTCTCAGTCCCAGGTACGTCGTGTCTGGGTTTTGTTGCCATCATTCACCCTAGAAGTCCAATTCGACTATATTTTGACCGGCTGAAGTAAAGGAAGTTCCCCAACTCAGATCCCCATTCGTCAGACCATTCTTTTTATATACTCCCAGGGTTCATGTTTGACTTTCTTCTTCTGCAAATTCTTCAGCACGGCTTGCACGGCTTTGACCACCCAGGGGCCTTCTCACCTCCATCTCTTCTTTTTCACCGCCCCCCCCGGTGAAAAACCACCGTCCGGCACCTCCCCGGTCCACCTCCCGTGTTCCGAACGTTCCCAGCACTGGCCATTTGTATGACGTGGTGGGACATTGCTACTATACCCTAGGGATCCAAGTACCTTCTCAGAAGGTGTTTGGGGTGGGTGCCAGGAGGGTCCAAGTGCCTTCTGAGAAGGTACTTGGATCCCTAGGGATAGGGTGGATCGCTACTAGGGTGGCGACCAAAACCGCGGACTCGCTGAGGCCAAGCCAAAGGAGCCCTGCGTCTTCGACCTGCACGCGTCACGTCCGCGCGGGCTGGAGTCCTTTCGTCCATGCGTCCGTCGGCGCGTCGGTGTTTTTGGGGTCCGCCGTACGCAAAACCATGACGTGGATGATTTTTGGAGGGGATTCCTGTCAGTTCTTGACCAGCTCGGTGAGGGTTGATGTGTTCAGGCATCGCACCAGCTCGGGCGAACCGGACTGATCAGGCCAGCAGTCCCAGACAGGTCGTGTTTGGGGCATGTGCTCTTCAAAACTGCGAGACCCAGCCTCACGCTGTTCAGCGCTCCCATGAAAAGCAAGCGAAATTGGGGCTTTTCAACTGCCAAGGTCATGACACAATATGCCATAGTTCTTAGGATCCGCACCCGAAACAAAACAAGGGTTTGGTTCGGGGCCCCAAATCGACCCCTTCTAAGCAGGGTTCAAGGATCCTTAGGGTATTATAGTTCTTATTTGATTGCTGCTTATGAATTTACACTATACTCGCTTGGCCGCTACCCATGTCACTGGTACCAACAAGTCCTAAGCCATTTGTCCTCAGTATAGACTATAGAATTTGGAGAATCTTGCTTCAGCCTACCTGAAAGGGTAGGTCGGTAGGTGGTTCCAATCATCAGGACGGTCTTGCCCATGTGCAGTCCACAAAGTTCGCTCTGGTGCTCTCAAAGGTTGGTCACATCAATGAGCTGACCTGGTTTTTGGCTGATCAAGGAACATGTTTTCCCAGACGCTCCGTGAACGACGCTCGTGGTACCGAACCAAACCCTAGGGATTGGTGAGAAACCCCAGACCCCTCCAGAGGATTCGGGCCCAGGGTCGCGTCTGGGTGTAGTGTTTTCATCTTTGCAGGTTCCGCAAAGGACATGTTTGTTTTCAACCAATTCGATGTTGATGACATGCTTTGGGCTTTTGACGTTGGGTATCTGGGGCGATAGACGTTCTTTGATACGCTATGGCATCACATACCAGCACCTTCATGTCGGGGTCACCAGGCTGGTTTCGCTCGCCCCTACACCATGGAGCCCCGGGACCTCCAGGTCCAGGACCCCCCTGTTTCACGTCCACCCAGACGCGAAGTCTGGGCCCGAATCCTCTGGAGGGGTCGGATCCGAATCCTTTGGAGGGGTCTGGGGTCTCAAATCCCTAGGGTTTTGAGGTACCAGTCGAGCTTCGTTCACGGAGCGTCTGGGCAGGTACCGTGCTTTTCGACTTCCGACGGTCGATCTACCGACTCCGTCGGTCGGACGCAGCGGGGGTGCGTTGGCAGGAGCCGGCGGGCCCCACCCCGGTCGTGAAGGCGGGGGCTTTGGGCGGTCGACCGAGACGTTGGTCAAGGCCAGCTACGTCACGTAGCGTCCGTGCTACTAACCCTGAGAGTCAAAGACTGTATAAAGAATGGTCTGACTAGGTGACCCGAAAAGGAATATCCTTTACTTCAGCCGGACTTCTAGGGCTAATAGTTCTGAATGGAAGCATTATATAATGTCAAGGTTCAATTTCTACCCGATATGATCCACTGCCACCATACCGACCTGGTTCGGTAGGACTGGGCTCAACCATCGCGCCTACATCAATATTCTCCTTCGTACCGACCTGGTTCGGTGGGAGTGGATCCATATATAGGGCTGTATGATCCCCTAGTGCTCCAGCTATATCCTCAGGTTCGGTGGTTAGACTTGACCCCCATGGCACCCACCCCTGGCCCACCTTCTCCGAAACGGAGGGGGCGGCCGAACGGAGCCCCAAACGGGAATGTCTCACCCTAAGGATCCGAGTCCGGACCCGAACCATGAGGGATAAGGGGTTCTTCACCCCTTCCGTTCACAAGGGTGGCTGGGGCCCCGAACCAAACCTTGTTTTGTTTCGGGTGCGGATCCTGATCGGGCATGTCTCATTCTGACTCCGGCATGGGCACAGTCGCGTCCGTTTTTTCGGCAGCGCGTCGGGTCCAGTTGACCGAAGGGGGAGCGGTGCCGCAGCTGAACGAAGAGGTCGAACAAGAACACAGGTCCTGGTCCAGGTGGATTTCTTTGGGAATTGGGTTTTCCATGTGTCGAGCTTCCACTCAACTGAACCATACTTCAACCTCTCCAGGTGGGCTCCAGGTCTTGACCAAGAGCCATGGAGGATGTTGTTTTTCCATGTCCCTCTAAGTACCAGCTGCTTCCAACGGGTCACCAATCAATCGACAACCCGTAGCACTGCTGTGCTAGGTCTCCAGACAGGAAGTGCGACAGGTAGTCATTAAGTGTGTGGGTCGAGTGGCAAGCTGGTACTGATAGAGACATTCCGGAAAGTGAGACATGGAAACACCTGCACGACTCATCCAACAGGGTGATGTTGTCTTGCCTGTTGGGATTGTACGTCCCCCCTTTTTATGACGCAGACACATCCAGCCCCTCCGGTTCAGCATTGGAAGCTTTGTGATTTCTTGGGTTGTTCCACCTTTGATCAAGAGAACAACATATATGTTGTTTGACTACACTCTTTGAACATGTTTGGAAGATTTGTGTTATCATGTGCTATATCAAAGTAATTTTCTATATATCGATATTTTTTGTTTTGGCTCCCATCATTTCCTATCCATTTGGAGCGCATACTTTGCAACCCGACGGACCTGACGGCGATATGGAGGCGTCCTTGCTACGAACGTAGCGATGCCCTTGTTATCCCTACTAGTTACATTCGTAGCTTCTTGTCAGTAGTGCAAAGCCTTCACATGTGGCAGCCACGGTTTTGAGATGTTTTTAGTCAGCAAACTTGGAGATCTAAAGGAGGATCTATTATATATATATGATATGATATGATGTGATCCTTTCAACCTCAATTGTTCGCTTTGCAGCGTCCCTCCCAGGCCGTTGGCAACTCTCCAGTTTGAACCAGGACGTTCTGAAAAAAGCATCATAAGGGGTGATGCTGGTCCTGCGGTTCATTGTTTGAAGTTGGCCTCGCGGCCGAAAAGGATTCCTCCGTGTCCATCCGAGGGTCATGCCGGGCCCTGTTTCTTGCCATCTCCCAGCTAGCTTGAAAAGGAAACATTGTTTCTTTTGAATGCTCCACATGTCACATGAATGTCCAAAATTTGTTTCTATCTTTGTGGTTCAGTTCTTTCTACATCACCCAATGGCTTAGCTGGGGAGCCACCGCCATCCCAGGGCAGGGTCAATCGACACTGCTGGGGGCGGATCAAACGGCTTTGGGCCTAATCGAGGGAAACTGCGAAAAGGAAAAGGTCGCCTTCGTCGCACGGCTTCGCCCGAGTCGGTGTCGCGAAGATGCTGTTCTACCAGCAAAAATGAACAGAATAGACTAGTTAGCCATCTAGGCCCAAAGCCGTGTGGCTGAAGGTGTCGGGCCACCTAGGGGTGTTTGCCGCCCTCGGAAGGCGGGGACATCGTCGACTAAGCAGGACTGCTTTCAGTTCTGCAGCCTGGTCTTTGTGGAGTTTGCCGTGGTGTGACCTCTTTTGGTTCAGTGACGACATGAGTTCTCTGTTGATCGATATGATTAGGTCGAAGATCGATGATCCCTGGAAGCATGCTCTTGAGGAGCTTTTTAATTCCTTTGGTAGTGCCGGCTCCTTCGCTCGCATTGCTGGGAAAGTGCTTTTTCAGGGAGAGCTGTGTGGATTTGAGGGTCCGTTGATGTGGGTGAAGCCCAGAAATTTTTCCCCAGGGAAAGGTTTCATTCCTTCGGGAGGTGATGTGTGGGAGATTTTGGTGCAGGACCTGACCATGAGAGATTTGCACTTCCAACAAGGTGACATTGTGTCGTTTTATGGGAACATTGTCCAGAGCAGTCCCACTCGTCTCGAGATGCCACGTGACACGATCATCACGAGTGTCCCTTTGTGGAGTCCTCGCAGACCAATCTTGGCCGTGCATCTCTTTTCAGGCTCGTTCTGCGGTTGGTCTCAAGCCTTGGAGGCAATCGGAAAGACTGAACAGGTCCCTCAGGTTTCCCAGCAGATCTATGTGGACAGCGATCCTCGCACTATGCAAAATTGGGCTAGTCAGTTTGAGAAGCCGGTACATTTTGGACCGACAAATCCCGATTTTCCTTGGAGTCCTAGCTCCCATGTGGGGATATGCACCTCGGTGAACGATTGCACCTTTTGCCATCAAGTCCGTGTCCGCCTCAACCTTGTCTGCACGGCGTCACCCCCATGCATTACCTGGAGTAGAGCTGGTAGGGCCCAGGGTCTTAATTCCGCTGCCGGGTACTCGTTCATCGAAGCTGTGTTTCTCACAATTGTTCTGCAGCCAAACGTCCAAGTCTTTGAATGCTCCGACGAGATCACTAAGCATCCACACTTTGGATTGATCTCACACCTTTTGAAACTTGGCGGTTATCGAAGGATCTGGCAACAGCTGGTAGAATACCATCCATTGTCCCACAACATGAGATGTAGGTGGCTGTCTGCATGGGCCAGGGTTGACATGAACCCCAGTGTCATTGGTGAGCATTTCCATTTGGAAGCTGAGCATTTGTGTCCATGGTCCTCAGACCTGTATGATTTTCCTCTCCCTCAGGAAGTGCGAGATGGACTACTCCTATCAGATGAGCTTCAGCGATTGTATGGCAGTCGAGGGACAGAGACGGTCTTGAGGGAACGAATCATCTCTCCTACTGAACCTCTTCCAACCGTATGTGCCTCTTATGGTCACCAACATGAGTTGGCCACACAGCACCTTTTGCAGAGAGGTCTTTTCACCTTTTTCTCGTCAGGACCCGAGGGTTTTTGTTGGGTTGAACCACTTCGTATTGTGGCTTTGCTCGGGGGGCAAACCAGGGTGTCGATTGAACGTCAGCCGACTGATGCATACCATGTTTTGGGCAATGCCATTGCAGTCCCTCAAGCTGCGCTCGCCATTCTGGTAGGATTGCAGGCCATCCAAGCCGAAACAATCCCTATTCTCCGAATTGTCCATGACATTTGGTTGAAACGCATGACGACTCATAATGCTTTTGTGCAAGTTGAAGGTAACTTCATCACCATTTCACAGGTTAAGCTGGCATTCGAACGCATTCCAATTCGCTGCCCGAGCGTTGACGCCTTTGCCATGAAGTGTGTTGTCAGTGATTGCCATGGATCTCATGGCACGGAGGGCTCATGTGATCCCTCATGGACAGTACATGAGTTGATTCGATCCTGCACTGGCCTTGATTCGCATGCCTTGACTCAGATCACATTGAGACATGGTTTGATCGTTGCTTCCAGGGTTGAGCAGATCTCGGACCTGATCAGCATTTCCAAGGAATGGAACATCTTTGCGGCCTCTGTCAAAGTTGCATGTCTCAGATTTGTCATGCAGGACCAGATTGATGCTCCAGATATCTCTCCTACCATTCCCTATGTCCCAGTGTCGGTGACTGAGACCATCGAGATCCCATCCTGTGAGGGAGAAGTGATTGCACGATCTGATGATTTTGCTCGAATCCATCATTTCTTTGCGGCTGCCAGCAGTGCACAAATCTTTGATGGAGAAGGTCCTTCGGACCCGGTGATCTTGCTTTGGATGACTCCAGCCACCTCTATTCTGGCCAGGATCTATGATCATCATAGCATTGACAGTGTCCGTGGCTTCCTTAGCGATCGAGGATTCAGAGAGTGGTCACTCAGGCGACTTGCTGGTAACTCCGTGAGGTTTCCTGCGTTTGAATGGTGGGTCTTTACGCCATCTCACTTGGCAAGCAATATCATTGTCGTTGAGAACATGTCCAAGCATGTGGAATTCTATGTCCTCGACTTTTCGGGCGCTGTTGATCACTCCACAACTGTGGTCATCCAAGGTGAACCTTTTGATATCCAACGAATCAATGGCTTTTCTTTGGAATCACCGATGATCCATGAGTGTGCAGATGGGGACATCATTTCGGTTGTCCATCGTGACCCTGCTCTCCGTTCTTTGATCAACACGGGCCATGTATATGCAGGCGGTCACCCGCAAACTGAGGACAATGTGTGGCACCTTCGACAAGGAGCAAACTTCTCCGAGAGATGCCATTTCAGCAATTGTACGGAAGGTTGTTGCGCTTCTGATGAACTGCAGTACGCCATGGACTGGCTTCTGAAACTTCATCCGGACATTTGCAACGCCTTTGCGATCCTTATTTGGGACGGAGTTGAGACTGAATTTGATGAAAGCCACTTCCAATTCCCTGCAATACAGATGGAAACGACTACGTGGCTTGCAGTGCTCATCAAGTGTCATTGGGTGGGATGTGAGATTACCCGCACTGGTGACTCCATTCTCTTGACTGCCCTTGGCCTTGACGCTACAACAGCGTACATGCTTGCCTCGATCTTGTGCAGAAGGCTGGATACTACGATGAGGAAAATGCACTTGTTTGTGGACCTCTTCCATCAAGCTGACTATGCATGTGGCTGGGCTCTCCTCTATCGTTGGTACGAGAAATATGATCGACATGATTCCATCCAGGTGTCAGAGGAGGATCTGGAGGACCTTTCGAGCTGGAGGTATACACTTGTCCAAGATGTCTTGGCCAAATCCATCGAGAATTGGCAAGCGCACGAGTTTCCTCCTCACATTTGGCATCTTGCACATCAGTTGAGATTGGATTTCTTTTGCCACCTTGGACTCCTGGACAATGATGCCGCTCCTGTCATTGACTATGACTTCATCCTCCGGCTTCCACCAGCTTCGACCCAGCGACCAGTAGGCAGTGTACTTCATTTTGGCCAATACGATGCCCTGCTGAAAGACATTCGGAATCAGCGCATTGATGAGATGCTTCGGTACCCTGGCTGGCTTGGCAGCGACATTGCTGACAATCTTCTCCAAATCCTTCGATTGCAGTGTCCGGATGTCGCCTTCACTGCTCCAGCGAGATGGTCATCGAGCAACCGCACGATCTGCACCTTTGGAGGCTACTCGGATCAGTGCCAATACCACTCACATGTCTTCACGCTTGTCCTGTGGGACCAGCATTGGGTCCTTTGTGAGATCCAGCGCACGGCTAACCTTTGTTTGATCTGGATCTCTGCTCCCTCGAGCTATGGTTTTGAGCTGCACCACATGACGTCACAATTGTTGAAGATGATCGGGATCGAGGATGACAAGATCCAGGTCATGCTGCTCCCCAATGAACCTCCGCTTGGCCTTTGCGGCTGGGTATTGCTACATGATCTTTTTGCCAAATGCCAGGTCAATCTTCCTGCTCCAGGAGCTGGTATCCTTCAGACCATTGCTGCTAATCCAGCTGAAGAACGACTCTTTGAAGCCATCAACCAGGCCAATGAAATCTGGCATGCTATTGCACCACCACATGTGCACAAATTTGCTCAAGATGCAACTGCTTGGTTTGTTCATGACTTGCTACGTGGCCGCATCACTCCAGCTTATGCCTCTGGTGGAGCAGTGCAGTCCTCAGCCCAGGCATCGACTTCTCCCACTGCCATGGTTGTTGACTCCACGGTCGATGTTCTTCAGATCAGGGACCCTTGGGCGAAACGATCTGCATCCTCCCAATCCAAATGGGAAGATTTGCGTATGGACAAGGATCACCCTTTTCGTTTGGAGGACAAAACGGTGGTTCCGCAAGTTCATCGTCACCAGCTCTCTGAGGCCAAAGGAGGAATCATCCTGGTCACCAAAGCGCAGCTTCCTGAGCTGTCCAAGATCAAGACATCTCAACCGCTTGCAGCCATCATTCCTGCGATTGAACATGGCCAACTCCAGGCTTTTAGCTCTCTGGCTTCAGGTCCCTTTGAGATTGTACTCCACGATGGTGCCCTCAACACCAGCTACAAGCGCATCGTGACGCTCTTGACCTTTGAAGGTAAGATCAACTATTCTCTGGTTGCTACACCTGCCTTCGAGTTCAAGACCAATGCAATCTCAGAGATCGTCATTGAGCTTGACAACCGCTTGATAGCCAAAGATGCATTCGACAAATTTGGTGCCAACCCTTTGCGCAGTTTCCAGGAGGCTATGAAGGAACTTTTTCCGAAGTTTCTGGACCAGGCGACTTTCTATGCACTCCGGCAAAATCGCCATCCATCTGGTGAGAAGTCGGACTTCCAGTACCAATGCA